GAGTGAGATTTTTTGCTCCGAAAGATGAACAAAGAGCTTATGAAATTTTGTTTTGTTTCAGCCATTACCTTTACTTGGGTTTAGGTTCCATACGCAGAATGAAAGTACCAATTTCGTAATGTGTGATCAATACTCTAGAATGCGAAACTTATTAACTAGAAGCATTTGAATTTATTCATTACGCTTACCAGCATCATGTGCTATGTGATAATGACGATAATTTTAGGTTCCATACGCAGAATGAAAGTACCAATTTCGTAATGTGTGATCAATACTCTAGAATGCGAAACTTATTAACTAGAAGCATTTGAATTTATTCATTACGCTTACCAGCATCATGTGCTATGTGATAATGACGATAATTTAGTGGACAAAATTGAATGCTCCTCTCCGAACACTTAAATTTATATCTCTTTTCCACTATTATGAGCGATATTATCATGACGATTTAATCAAATTGAATAGTTGTTGATGATGAACGATGAATGGAATCTATCAAACATTTCATATGAATTCAAATCATTTTCAAAAACTTCGCATTTTCGTTTCATTTTTAATTAAATTTTGGCATTTCATTGTCAAATTTGCTTTTATTCTCTCATTTTTGAGCCAAAGTAGCAGTACTAGTAAATGATAGTAGCATGCAATACCAACCAACAAAATAAACCGTTCAAATGACAAGCATGTAAAGAGTGTCATCCATCAATAATCTTGTTTCAAGCCGAATTCAGAATTGATTTTTCGAATGTAATTAGCAAGAGAGTGACAACAAGCGTCGCTGAATGATCAATTGCGAGAGATCGCACATTCCACTCAACAATCCTTGAAATTGAAACCATCTTGTTGTGATCTCGCCAATAACATCCTGATGAATACCACCGCGTTTCGTTTCTCTGAAAAGGTCTATTCGGTAAACAACCAAAGTGAAATGAAAAAGCAAACATATTGCTGCTAACCAAGAATTTGACAAAACAAACCCATCCAACTCAAACATAATTACATCCATCGTTTGGTGTTATTCACTTGAAATATATGGCTGCCTTCAACACAATCGCACTTAACCTACACTCAAATAAAAATTCCAGAACTCTCTTAAAATTTCTTCGGAATCTTTTCATCAAGATACAAATAAAAAAACTTCACCGATGTTACTCTCTTCNTAACTTTTCTTGAGATCTAATTGAATATGCATTAACAAATATCGAAAGCAAGTGAACCTCTGCAAATTCGCGTCAAACTTTTGCAAATTATCATCCGGAAACATAGAGGAAATCTAGCACGATTCAAGCAATTTTTCAATCATATCGCTCCCCTAAATTCACACGTCAATGTTGAGAGAATCCTTCGAATCATTGCTATTCCATAGCTATCAAAAAACATGTCGAGAAAAAGTTTTTGAATGGTAGTTGCTTGCAGATGTAAAACTGTTTGTGAGTGCAAATGAAAATGTGAAAATTTTGACTGCTCTTCGAACACAACAAAAACGCTCGTTTGATTGCACTGTGAATGCATTTGTTAATGCATATTCAATTAGATCTCAAGAAAAGTTATAATGCAATAAGCAAGTTACTAATTGTAAACAAAATCAAATGAAACAGCTCTAACATAAAAGAAGAATGAACAATCAAGCAACTATTTGGATCATCGTGAATGAATTGAATGAATAATGTTGCACATGATAGTTCTGAGATGATAGTTTCTTCTCATTTGCTCAATTGTATGATGACAACAACGATGACTCTGAACGCAAAGCACAATTATCATCCTATATTGGACACTTTCAATAGAAAATTGGGCTTATTTTTGCGACTCACAACAGATCAACAGCAAATTCGGAGGCACACATATATGCAGATAAGTCACGAAAAAGGATCCATCCCTTTCAACAACACACACCATCCGTCTACCACTGAGTGCTTCTAATAATGAATCTAAATCAGTGATCATAACCACCATCTTGAATGCGTCGTAGATGTTGCGAGATTCAAACTAAGTCCAAGGCAACGCTACCAATTCAGACCAAAATCATTTATACTCACTCGCTGAATCATTTTGTTTCGTTTCCGAATCGTNATCGACTTGTTGTCCTCGAACTCATTAGAATGTTTGCAGCTGAGAGATGAATATCTCTGTTGAAAATAAGAAAGCATTTCCCCTTCGACGTTTTTTGCAAAGAATATCTTTTACAATCGTTTCTGAATTGTGCAGTGAAGTTGTTCAGTTGCATTTCGCAATTTGTCCGGTTTCGTTCCAGAATGAACAAGGATGTTAAAGTGGTATTTTATTATCCCGAAACAAGCTCATTTTCACAGCTCTTTTAGGCCACCTGCATTTTCTGTACTTACGAATTTCAGAACTCATTTAAAATTCCTTCCGATTTCAAAACATTGTCCAGCAAACTCGACCAATATTTCAGCGATCTCGATGGAATGAAAGTAACTTCAAATCTTTCAATTTGACAATCTTCCATAATTTATGTCGGCATGATTGTTGGGCTTGGTAATTGCAAAATGATTTCTTCTCAGACTGAACCCTCAATCACTCGTAAACTTTTGATGCCGAGATGACTTCGATTTTTTCATCTTAACTGTTTCGTCAACTCAACAATTGTAAAATAACACACAGCACAATCACGACTTGGCTAATGAATTTTTCGAATTTCCAATCAAAACTACAAACCAGTGACAAAGGAAGGAATTAAACATTGCCACAACAAAAAACCATTGTTGTGCAACATATCGCAAGATGTGCAATTGAACTACTTATGGAACGGGAACACTCCATTGATTTGATGGCACGGCAATATTCCACTGAACATTGCTGTGTATCTCTTGAATATATTTATGGCCTTCTCCAACGAAACTGCGTTTCACGCCCAAACCCACTATATCTTATAAACCTGACCACATNTTTTTTTGATTTCAATCTCTTTCAACAATAAGGCCAGCCGTCAAACGCTGGGCACCGCATGAATAATACGGTCACGCAATTTGTCAACTTCTGCTCGATCGATTGAGCTGCTGACTGCATTTTCATCAGAACCGCGCACTACTGCTCTCACATCACTCCGTTCAGTGATTCGCCATTAATCTTCCCTCACTATCAATCGAGAATGACAAAACCCAGTCACTGCGCTCAACAAAATCACAAAATCCATCCACTCAAACTCCACAACTCGCCGAAACCACCAAATTCACCGTTCATCTCCCATTCAAACAGCCAGTCTCCCTCCCTCAGATAGCAGTCAAAAGAGTGAAGTAAAGAAGTGATAGAGGAAATCAATCGGTCAAAACTCGACACTATCACGTTCACGAACACGTTTTAATGCGCAATTGCTCAAAATAAAACAACAACGATGGTTATCAGTGTGAAAAAACAAACAAATAACTCTCAATGAATAATTTAAGAAGGTCGCTTTGATGCTATAGCCATAGAAAGCAGCAGCCAATAGCCAATAAATAGATATTATGTGATAATAATATCGCTGAATGCGCATCACTCCTCCATCACTGAACCAGACCAATCAAACCATCGTGCAAAACACAACAACAACCGGGTAATTCAAAAACATTTTTCAAAACAAATCTCATTTCAAAACATCAATCAAACATAACAAAACCACATCCAATGATCTTATCGTATTATAATCATATCATATCTTATCAACATATCACCATCACCAACAATTACTTCTTCTTGCCACCAACACCAGCCTTTTGGGCAGCCTTCGTTACTTTGCCTCCAACCTCGGTCTTGTCGACAGCCTTGATTACACCAACGGCCACCGTTTGTCGCATGTCACGAACCGCGAATCGTCCCAACGGTGCGTACTCTGTGAACGTCTCAACACACATCGGTTTCGTAGGAACCAACTCAACAATACCCGCATCACCAGACTTCAGGAACTGAAACAGAAACAACTCATTATGAAAGCCAATTATTTCAAAGCAATCCGAGCATTTACAAACTTCGATAGCACCACAATTCGGAACACATTCAAGGTGAAATCAAACAGATTAATGTGCAACCTTTGGATTGTCTTCGACCTTCTTTCCCGATCGCCTGTCCACCTTCTCTTTAAGTTCAGCGAATTTGCACGCGATATGTGCAGTGTGGCAATCCAAAACGGGTGTGTACCCAGCAGACAACTGTCCGGGATGGTTCATGATGATCACTTGAGCGGTGAACGATCTCGCCTCTTTTGCCGGGTCGTTCTTCGAGTCCGAAGCGACTGAGCCTCGACGGATATCCTTGACTGAGATGTTCTTGACGTTGAAACCAACGTTATCACCAGGCAACGCCTCTGTCAACGCTTCGTGGTGCATCTCCACCGACTTCACCTCAGTGGTGACGTTCTGTGGTGCGAATGTCACAACCATACCTGGCTTAAGAATACCAGTCTCAACGCGACCCACAGGCACAGTTCCGACACCTGCAAACTATTTCTATGAATCACATACTCTTAATCATTGCCCAACAACTCTTGCACATATAGTTCAATAAGTAACCTCCAATCTTGTATACGTCACGAAGAGGCAGTCTGAGTGGTTTGTCGGTAGGTCGTTTTGGTGGAAAAATCGAGTCGAGAGCCTCGAGAAGAGTTCTGCCACTAGCTTTTCCCCCTAGTCTATTTTCAACTCTCCATCCCTTGTACCAGGGCATGTTGATCGATGATTCCAACAAGTTGTCGCCGTGCCAACCTGAGACTGGTACGAAAGCAACAGCCGCCGGATTGTATCCAACCTTCTTGATGTAGTTCGACACTTCCATTTGGATCTGAACAAATCCGTTATTCAGATGAACCAAAACGAAACGAATCCCGAACCAAAAATGAAATCAATAGGTGTATGAACCAATCCCAACGAGTATACTTACCTCTTCAAAACGCTCCTGAGAGAACGATGGTTCCGTGTTGTCCATTTTGGTGCATACGACGATCATCTGCTTAACACCCATCGTGTAAGCAAGTAGAGCGTGCTCACGGGTTTGTCCATTCGTCGAGATACCGGCTTCGAATTCACCAACACCGCACGCCACTACCAACACCGCGCAGTCGGCTTGTGATGTACCTTGAACCATATATTGTACACTAGTTCATTGAACTCACAATCATACCATATCACAATACGACATTCATATGAAACAAGTTTTTTATCATCCCAAAAAAAAGTATTGTCGAACTGCTCACCAGTGATCATATTCTTGATGAAATCACGATGGCCAGGGGCATCGATGATTGTTATGTAGTATTTGGAAGTCTCGAACTTCCACAACGAAATATCGATAGTGATACCTGAACATTAGTAATTCATTGATTCAAGGGTAACTGTTCACGTTATGGAAGTGTAGTTGAATTCCAGTGAGCTAAGGTGAGTAGAAGAGGTGAAATGAATTGAAAAACGTACCACGCTCACGCTCGGCCTTCAGCTTGTCGAGTACCCATGCGTACTTGAAGGAACCTTTGCCACCCTCTTGTGATTCCTTTTCCAACCGCTTCATTGTTCGCTCGTCGATACCACCGCTTTTGTAGATGAGGTGACCAGCCATCGTCGACTTACCCGAATCGACATGGCCGATCAGAACAATACTGATGTGAGTCTTTTCACTGCTCATCCTTCCTTGAAAACAGATAGCAACGCTTGAGGAGAGATCTACTGAAAGCACCAAATAATCTTGAAAAGATATTGCCAAATGCAATCACAACTTCGATCATACCCCAAACGTCAAACGAATCACACCTAAACGAAACTGTTTCCATGAATCGCACACTCTTAATCACTGCCCAACAACGGTCGTATGTGTACTAGAAGCTAGTTGATTCAGTTGACTGAT